CCCCCCCCCGAAGTGAAATTTCCTCTACGCTTTTTCTTGCCTCAGACAAGTGCAGCTTGTTTTTTTTCCCATAATTAATAATTGGTGCGAAATTGCATTGCTTGATGCATTAGTTATAACTAAGACGCGCAAAGTTGAAAATACAACAAATATACATTAGAGAGAAAAAACGGAGGTCACCCTGTTTCTCCTTAGCAATCATGAAATAACAGTCTAGGCCATTGCTTTATTCTTGTATGTATAGCAACTATTATCATGGTATTTATTTAGATATAAAGATCAATAAAAACGAACTTTTGAATATTGAAACAACAATGGAAGCTATATTGGATATGTACATAAGTGAAAGAGAAAATTTAATAGACTCCTATTGTATATTTTAGGAAATAAATATACCATCATCTCTTTCTGATGTGTATATATATATATAGTTCTTTCTTAGAAGTTGATGTATTTATTATTCATGGTAAATTCATCAAAGGATGCAGTGAAGCCTGAAATTTTTCTTTAGAATTCAAACTGTAGCTGTCACTATCAAGAACAAACGAGGAGGAAAATTTTGTTGAAGTACATTGTAAATGAAGAATTGTTATACGATTGTTAGAATTTATTATTAAACTATTTACGCAATCAGATCAATCGAAAATTTGAAATCGAACAGCAGATAGATGAAATAGAAGTAGCAATAAATTTGTTGGAAAATATTTTTGTATGAGACTTCTACAATCTACATATTATATTCTTTAAATTTCATTATTTTTATTTTAAATCATTCTTAAAAATCCAATAAGTCGTGACAACAACATCTCATATTGAAACTGAGATGTACAGTGATATATGCAAATTTTTTATGAAAAACTTCGCTGTTATATCTGAATTAATATCATGTACTTTGATAATTTCAATAAAACATAGTTTTCGAAAGGTAATATATCGCAAGAAATTACCATTCTAAAATTTCTTATTCAATTTAGATTTGTTAACTATTTCCAAGAAAATAAAATACAGATGCTTTAACAAGGTATTTTTCGAGCTCAAGCGAAGCTAATCCTATTTGACAAATAATATCAACTTTCTTTATCGTACATTCTTTTTTATTACCCGCACAGGATAAAACAGCAAACCTATTTGAAATCCGAAAATCATACTCGTAAATATATTGTAACATAATCTTAAAAGGGAGCTTGCCAAAATCTTAAATAGGATATTTTATCAATAATTTCATTCCTCATTTTTAAAAAACGATTATTCAATGGTTTTATGCCGCCAAGAACAAAGAAATCAGTCACTGATTCAAATTCTTTTTTATGAAAAAAAAGAAAATTATTCATGTATAGTCAATTTTCTATTTGTTTGTCTATCGATCAAGTTTCTTTTTATTTTTCAAATAAATATGCTTTGACCTAATATTCGGCACGATGCTTTAGCGTACACGCAGAAAGCGAGAGAGAGAAAACAGTACATTTTAATTCACCAGATCTCTCCATTCTCGGAATCGATCAAAAATCAATCTAATCCATTTAACATTTATTTTAATTGTTTTCATATAAAATGAACTTTGCAATTATTTATTCTTTTTGGCTTTTTTCTCTGTTTCAAGTTTGAATATTAACATTGATTAGGAGTGCAAAAAAAATGTTCTAAACACATATATGTGAACTTTAACATAGCATTAAATAGAATAAGAGTCAGTAAGGAGAATAGATACGTCTCACTTTTAAACTATCACATACAATAAAAGTGAATTTCAATAAAATTCTTTTATTTTATCTTGAAAAAAAATCATCAACTAAATTTATTACTTATTTTCAAATATTGAATTGAACACAGAAAATAATTGAGAAAAAAAATCATTTTCTCAAGAGTACTTGCATCTGTTTGCAAAAGGAATAGATATGCGTTACCATTGACATTCAATTTTTAGTATGCGAAAAAAAAAACTTGCATAAATTATATGGTAGTTTATTGTAATTATAACAAATATTTATGCACGAAAGATTGATAAAAAATTTGTATTGAATTATCATTTCTATTCAACAGACTGATTAATGAAACTATTCAAGTTTGATTTGGCTTTTATAAGGAACTGAATCTTGATTTTCTTCTGTACTAAAAGTAAAAGGCAAATAGAAATGTTTTTTATAGGATATCGATGTCAGAAGAAAAAATGTTTCTTTTACCTAAAAGGGGAACTCGCATTGAATATTCGACAGTCAACTTGATTGCATCTACCGACAACAGGTTATTTATGAAATCTATATTCAAATTTATCTTTTATTCTATTTATTACAATTACTGGGCACTTTATCATATAACCGTCGCTCTTTTATGGCAAACAAGAAAAGAAACGGCAAAAAGAAAAATTCATTTATCAAATATACCTTTTAAGTCAACATATACTTTATCGCATTTGAATGCATTATTTTAATTGTAAGCAAGACACCGATCAACTTGGCGAAATGTTCTCGGTTGTCTACAGATGTTTATCACCTTTTCTTTCCGTTCTCACCGATACCTTGCTTTACACTTGACATCTATAAACTTGAATAAAATACTCGCGTCATCGAGTAAAAAAGAAAACTTCTTTTTCTATTTTGAGTATTTATGCAAACTTATGCATACTTAAAATATGAAGACAGAAAAAGAAAGAGAGCTAGATTCAAAATAATGAACACAACCGAACTAAAATATTTAAAATCAAGCCTCTCTTTAAGGCAGTACAAACATTTGACATGTAGCGATAAAAAGAAAACGAGAAAGAATACACTAAACAAAAAAAAAGCATAGCGGTACACAATTTTCTTCTGATGTCTTTCTTTTTTTTTCTTATTCCATGATACTTAGATCTGACACACTTCAACAAAAAAAAATATATATAAATATAAAGAAAAAAAAAGAATAAAAATGAATTATGCCATTGAATTAACCAGAGCTCGTTTGGGCTCAGCCGTTTTATAGAAGACATTTTTAATGAGTAAACACCGGGGACTTACATATAAAGGACTACGTTCTTTAATTTGTTGAAACATTTTCATCCGTGGAAGCATACGCCTCAATGTGAATACTTTTGTATCTTCATGTAGATCGATTTCAATTTCAAATGTTGTTTTTTGCTTTGGATTTATTCGTATGACTGGTAAATATTTTGTTATTGTGTTTGTTATATTCGATGATAGTAGTGTTAATTTTATTTTAATTTGTGCCCCCATTATACCAAATGGCTCTTCAGCTGACATAATCAAACATTGTCTTGCAATATTACGAATATGATTGCATGGAAGATATAAATTATCGCATGATAAATGTTTTATTTTACTTTCACGCAATGTTGTTAACAAAATCTTCGAAACAAGTAATAAACGTTCTTCACTTAGATCAAGTTCAGGATCATAATTGAATGTAGATAGTTGTTGATGACCTGAATTGATCATTATGATTGAATCTATAAAACAAAAACAGACTAAAAAACATTGAGGTGTATAAAGAGTACATTGATAATCTAATGCACTCAATCTTGAGAATCTTTTAAGGGTTTCGTAGTTTGCCTCTCAGCTCTCTCCATGTAACAAATGAAACCTTACTAAGGGTAAATTGCTAAAACAACACTATAGTTTGGTGTTGTTATTGCTCGGTTTTTTTTTGCATCTCTCTTATTTCTTTTTTTTCTTTTTTCCTCTCTCCCCTCGAGCAGCATCGTAGTCGGCCGTGCAAGACATACAGACACCTTTTTCTTTTGCTTAATAAACCTTCTTCTCAAAGCTTAATCAACAATCCATGTTCAACCGAGATTTTCAAGTGTATCTATACAAATTCGGTTTTCAACATTTTTATTATTTTCTTTTTCTTTAATATACAGACAAACGAACATTTAAACAGAAAAATGATTGTTCTGTTTCTTCTAGTTCCATGAATACTAATAAGGTTAGATATTCAATGAGAACTAGGTCTACTTGCTAATAATCACTAAATTACATTTATTAGTTATCATTTGTATTCAAAGGAACCATAATAAAATATATACATACAAATGACAGGTTGGATAATTTTCTTTCTTTCTAGAATGTCAGGTGGTATTAGTGTTAAAACGAAAAGAAGAAAATCTCCATTGATCTTAACTTGTCATTCTTATGAATGAATCAAAAGGAAAAACGCGGTATGAATATAAGACGAGGCTGTACAGTTGCCATAATGAAAATAAATTCTTTCTTTCTATAGAATTGAGTCTAGATCGTTGGTCTCCTTTTTTTCTTGTGCTTTGTTGATGATCGATATTTGCCCACACATGCACACACTATATATATATATATATATATGAAGTCAATGCCGCAGTAGCTTTATATTAATAAGATTGACAACAATAGTGAAAAAAATGCACAAGGAAATATTTGCCGAAAGTAAATATTAAAGCTATCGCTATGTTGACAAAACAGCATAGGTAACGATGACTGGCTTTTGTCTACTTAAAGTTACCGATAAAGTTTGCTTCGATAGAAGCATCGAGGGTGAAGAAATCGGTAATCAAATAAGTTCGAACATGAAAAGAAATCGAGATGATTAAAAATAATCAATTCTCGCAGATATGTACATATAATCAGATTATATAAAAGCCAGATTCTATAATATATATACATATATATGTGTTTCGGTCTCTCTCTGGCTCAAACAAATTCATGTTAATGAATAGAACTGTTTACCTTGTTTAATGATTGGCTTAGAAATTTGTTTAAAAATATTTGCAATACTTTGTTTACATCGTTGTATCCAAGATGAATTATCGCTTGAATTTAATTGCATTGGTTGATCAACTATTTGATAATTTACAGAATTTGTTTTTGTATAATGATCAAGTGATGAAGCAAGAATGGTTGTTGATATGCATCGTCTTTCATTGAATATTTCAGATTGATTATTTGAATGAATATGAGAACTTTCAGAAATTGGATAAGAAGAATTTCGGCCCTGTGTTTTAATTGAATATATGTTTTCGGCTGACATTACTTTCTTTCTTTGTATGAGTAACGGCAATCGGGCAATATTCTGAAACAGTACATACGTATGTAGAGAAATCGAGAAGAACAAGCAAGAGAGAGAGAGAGAGAGAGAGAGAGAGAAAAGAAAGAAATTGAAAGATGTGTATAGGATTAGTAGTTTTTATATTCCAGACGCCATATGGTTGATAGCAGACTACTATTCATAAATGTTCTCAACATTCGTTTAACCTATTTCGAAACTCACAGATATAGCACATAAACGACCTTACACAATGGTCTTTAAAGTGTTCGCTTATTCTATCTCATTCTTTATTTTTAAAGGTCGTTGAAATGGAATGATTAACTAAGAATTGAAGATCCCGCGTATACATATAGCTACATATTCAAATCAACAATAAATATCTTTCAATAAACAAGAAAAAGAAAATCTCTCCGTAAATGTATATTAGGATAATATTATACGTGCATTCATTACTCAGTGGCAACAACTGGTACTCCAGTTACGATTTATTTTGTGGATGTCACGCACGTCAGTCTACTAATAATAATAAGTAAAAAGAAAAAGATAAGAGATGAAGCCGGTATCACGTTTACAAGAATGGCTACATTACTCTTTTCTGTCTATTCAATGAGTAGGATATAGTGTTTATAATAGTTTGGATCTGTTTAACATAAATGTAATCTCACCCACCGTTTAGTATGGGTTTGTGCAATCGAGTTGACTACGTGTCGGGCATTACTGATGTTACAATCATGCTTGTCAGCAGGAGGGTTCTTAATAATCAATCACACTGTTCGATGTCGCTGAGATTCTTTTATTTTATACTAATTTATGTCTGTCCTTCCCTATTAAATTCGGCATGGTTTTCTCTTTTTCTTTACATTTTCTTTCATTTTACTCATACCCCGTTAGCTATTCTGGCATTGATTTTTCCCTATTCTCATCACATCGCCAAATATGAGATCTCAGTAGTCTAACAAATAGAGAAAATAAGAGAGCAAATATCTAGAGACATTAAGTGTGTACGAACCATCACGACATCATTCTATCTTCTTCGCATTTTTCTTCCTCTCTATCTGTCGTTTCTACCACTACCACGACCACGACTACTATACTACTTCTATCAGTATCATGATGACCTTCTGTTTATATCAATGCACCACACATGCTCGTGCACAACATGATTTGAATCAATTCATTTCAATCTATTACCTGCCTACCTGGATATATCTACACATAAATCAATACAATCGTTTTACGAGTCGAATGGAAAAAAGAAAAATCGCTTGGTATACACTCAACAAACGCTGAAGTCTGTCAATAATGATCAGTTACTACATGAAGAAGAAAAAAGGTCACTCGGTACGATGTGCAAGCGACAATAATAAGAGAATTTTCACTCACAGCATGATTACCACCGATGAATATATTTACTTATGCATATGCATGTATAAATAAATACAAAGAAGACCGTAGAGAAAGTTTGTTTCATCCTCCATATCAGCTGCATGTGCTAGTCTTTCTATTATTTTTTTTCCTATACTAACGCACGACTGCTCTTTCTCTGTCTTATCAACGCGTAAATGAACATGTGTTTGCATGTTGTTCGTTCCTTTGCATAGCAAGAATGAATCAGCTGTTTCATACGATACGATGGATTCTCATCTGGTCGACAGCAAAGAAAAAGAAAGAAGAAGGAAAGCAAAAAAAGATTCATATAGATCATAATTGCCAATATTTACTGTTCGCATAACAATAATAGTAACTTTATAATTTCTCCGTGTCTGTTGTTTCATTTTTCTTTTTTTTATTGCTTCTATCGGAAGACCGGTACTACCGTGTCTCTATAGATATAGATTCACTTGAAAAGAACATGTGTGATTATGTGAAACATAGTGGTACAAAACAAGACAAGACAAACAACATATAAACATAGATATATAGATAGATAAGAAGAGAAAAAAAATGACACAAATAGTTCGAAGAATCCAGGAAGTTTAAACACAAAACTGCTTATGAGAATGGCCAACAAAAAGAAATAAAGAGTAATACAATACAGACAAAAAAAATGATCATGGCAGGTTTTTTTGATTTTTCAGGTAATCACAACAACAAAATATAGATAATATAAATAAAGAAAGTCGAATTTCGATTAATATTTAAATAATATTTTTACTTTTTTTCTTAATAAGAAAAACTGACAAAAAATAGAGATAGAAGCTAGGACATCGTGATGAATCGAGTCATTCTCACATTTGAATATAGGAGAGAGAAAGAAAGAAAAAAGAAAACAATCGAGAATAAATAGTTCTAATAGACACGGAAAAGCACACCCACGCAAGGTATATAAACGTCGTCATCTGACTTAAAACTAAAGAGTATTGACGACGAACAGATCTTGTCATAGACATAAGAAACAGAAAAAAAAAACAAATACATGATTTGCCTATAATATAAATGAGACAACAACAATTAGCTACGCGAATAAATATTGCCTACATAGGTAAAAGAAAACCAAAGTAAAATCAACCTTATGTCAGATCGAATACTTGAATAATATTGTTTGTTCGATGAAAATTATCAAGATGAATTAACTAAAGCTCGTTTCGGTTCGGCTGTTTTATAGAAGACATTTTTAATGAGTAAACACCGGGGACTTACATATAAAGGACTACGTTCTTTAATTTGTTGAAACATTTTCATTTGTGGAAGAAAATGTCTTAATGTGAATACTTTTGTATCTTCATGTAAATCAATTTCAATTTCAAATGTCGTCTTCTGTTTCGGATTTATCTGAATGACCGGCAAATATTTTGTTATTGTTTTTGTCATATTCGGTGATAGTAATGTTAATTTTATTTTAATTTGTGCCCCCATTATACCAAATGGCTCTTCAGCTGACATAATCAAACATTGTCTTGCAATATTACGAATATGATTGCATGGAAGAAATAAATTATCACATGATAAATGCTTTATTTTACTTTCACGTAATGTTGTCAGTAAACGTTTTGAAACTAATGATAAGTGTTCTTCACGTAAATCAAGTTCCGGATCATAATTAAATGTAGACAATGGTTGTTGATTTAAATCCATTTGAAGATCTTTGTTATTTAGTGAATTTCCATTTGACACACGCTTAAAGAGATTAACAACACGAGTCTTTATTCTTTGAAGAATATTTTCATTTTCTAATATCGTTGAATGCTGTGCTGGAATTGTATTTGAACGTTGATTTGTTTGATTGAAATATGTATGTAAAGTATTCGATGATGAACTATATTTCTTGTCAATAGTTAATGCTAATGTACGTTGTGTTGGACATGATGCGTTACGCGTAAATTGAGGATAGCTAACCGAAAGAATTGATGATGTACCAGTCAGATGCGTTGATGTTGGCGACGGTGGTAGTGTCATTATTGTCAATCTAGAAATATAATTTTACATTATATTTTGTTTAGTTTTTTACTTCTAATTCTATTTTATTCTATCCAATCTATTCTATTTACCCGCCTATCTCGCTTCCGCCACCTGGCCTTCTTTCGTTCGGTTCAATACACAAGATCATTAGAATTGAATCGCATTGTGCATATTCATACATCTCAAGAGATTAAAAACGAAATGATTGAATGTCTAGTGTGTATACATACATATATATATATATATATATATAATAGCTCAGCATCAAACACTAAAAAGCAAATAACTAGTTTTGGTGATGTAAAAAATCAACGGCGATGACGACGACAACACAGCAGTTGATACTCTCTATTTTAACAGAATATTTAATATCAAACAAACATTGATATTAATCATGAAAGATAGTTTTCTTAATGCAGTATGTTTTTTTATGGTTCGTAGCAAGGTATGTATGTATGCATATATATGTATGGTATTTTTTTTTACCTAGAAATCAATCTTAGTATGCGTATGTATGCATACGAACATCAAACGTTAATGATAGATGAAAGCGAAAAAAATACACTTTGATAAGTTAAAAATATTAGAAAAAAGGGGTTTGAATCTATATGTATAACCTTCAGTAATAATTATTTTTAATGGCTAATTGACTTGATCATTATGAAAAATTATTCTTAATTACATAAATTTATTCAAGGTAATTTTTATTATGAACAAAATTTCAAGTGTTAAGTATGATACGACCTTAAGTCAATAGAACATACAATGGAATCGGGTTTTGTCGAAGACTTACATTAAAATTTCTTTGTCGCTGATAGAAAAGTTGAGCAGCTGGGATGCGTATTTGATAATAGTGTTGTCGTCGTCGGTGCACACTCGGTCTGAACTAGAAATGCAGCAAGGGAGGACGTTACTCTCTCTTTTTCTCTTTCTCTCTGTTTCTCGTTCTCTCGTTTCTTCTTAACTTAACGGTCTCTTTCTCTCATTCTCTCTCTTTTCCGTTATATAGCATTATAGATTTCTCTTTCTTTTTCGTTTATTCTATTTCTCGATTCTCTTAATACAGCTGATTGTCGATCAAGTAGAAAGGATGTATATCATTATACATATGTAGCGCTCGGCGGACTTGCCGTTTGTGCTTCATTCTTTTCTGTCTGGCGAGACAAAAACAGCTGCTTGTCATATTCAACGATTGGTTGCTATTTGACAGCTTCATCTGATGGGGCAAAGGGACGGAGAAAATAAAAATACAGCAGAACGAAAAAATTTTTTCTCATGCTTCGGATTTTTTTCTTTTTGCTCTAAGATTACCTCACACGTGTCGTTTATTACTTGAGGGTATGGTGGTGTATACTGCGCATGATAGTGATGTGAAATCGACACAAAAGATCTCTCGGGATTGTCATCGATTGTATGTGCTATACAGGAAGAACAAAAGCTCCCGGCTATCGATCACACATGTCTCATGAAGTGTTCATCATTAGGATAGAGAACAAAAAAGCAAAAAAAAGAGTGAACTTTTTTCTTTTTAGGATTTACTCGATTATATTTTTTTTCTTCTTTAGAAGAAGAAGAAGGAGAAGGAGAAGGAGAAAAGAAAACTAATTATCACACTCTTTACGAGAATGACGAAAGACAAGAACAACTGCAGCTGATATTAACCAGATTTCTTTCTTGCACTTTCTGCTAAAGAACAAATTGATCACAGAATACCAGTGAAACACAACACAAACGGATCTTTTGTCTGTTTTCTTCCTTGTTCTCAGCTGGAGCATACATACATTTATACATTATACAGGCCATATGTGTACGAACGAAGTCATCATTATCCATGTTATGTGAGCAGTATACAGATGGATTGTCGAGTCGATTCATAAACATATATGCACTAGTCGTCATCTGATCCGTTCCCCAGATGATGACGAAAAAGCTCTATTTCGAGGATCTGATTTCTTTCTCTTTTCTTTTCTTTTCCTCTATGATGTCGATATGTCTATAATGAATTGAACAAACGACTACGTGCTCAGTTTCTATTCAATTACCCTTGCTGTCTAGGATTCCTTACTGTTCTTATCACACTTGCTCTATCAGACTCATTATGTCTGTTTGCTAATGATTCCTTCTGTCATACTCTATATATCTGTATGTTTCTGTCTTTCTCTGTTTTTCTTTCGGGGATTTCCTTTCTTGCTTTGCCTTTCAGGAGAAAATAAAGATATGTATATCTATATATTTATATATATGTACGTATGCATACATGCATGCCTGCATATAACCGTTTATAAACACAGCCTGCCATCATCGTACAGGTAGATTGCTGACTGATAGCTAATTGTATAAGGAAAAAAGATACTAGGAAGAGAAAATACAAAACGAACAAGGCTGTTGTCTCTAGTGAGCAGAAAACATTCTAGATTTGGTTAGTCTATTTTTATCTATAGAATATAGAATCAGCATCGCCTGAGAGCACCCTCACACTCTATCTCTATTGCTGTTAGTTATTGACGAGATGGGACGTGTGTATAAATGCAAAAAGGAGCAGAGAAAGAAAAACGACGAGTTGTGTATTGCATGCATGATCAAGATAGAATCATCTCATGTGTACGTGTAGCTTTTCATTCATCATCATAATCTTTCCGTTGTGTACATATATCAAGATGGTGTCTAGTAAATTTATTCGAAACAAAGAAATCTAACATTTTCATGTGAAAAAAACGCAAATGAGACCATCAATCTAAATATATAAATATATGTAAAAGAAATTCTGCAAGTTAGTGTGACAAAGAAAAATTTTCTATTTCTATTCATTTAGAAAAGGTCACGATCAAGATAAAATGTCTACAGGAGACTGATGATAGAGTAATCTTTACAGTTCCTTGCCAATATAAGATGAAACTATTGCCTCAAGAAATGCTATTAATGATTTAAGCTAATACTTGAAATAAACTCTTTGATTAATTTTCTGCCGAAGGATAGCAATCAAATAATCAGACATAAGGCGTCAGAATCAATTTGCTTTGCGTTCTCATCTGTTTGATATGAAGAAAAGACAGAGTGAAGCAAATAAAAAACAGAATAAGAAAAAAAATCTGAATTGAAATGATTTACTCAGAATATTAAAAGGCATCACCTACTCAAATTTCATTTTTATTATTATTATTATTATTATTATCATAACAGCCGTTGATATGTAGATGTTGAATATCGATGCATACATATCGATAGCAAGAAAAATGAGATCCCATAAGCCTACTGTTGTTGTTTTTGTTGTTGTTGTTATTACTATTAATCTTGCTTCTCTTTCTTTCTCTTTTTCTCTTGTGATCATTTGATATTTGCTTATATCCTACTCTACTGCATAAGTTTTCATCAATCGTTCTTCCGTTTTCTTTTACTTGCTTGCTAGGGATCGGTAATCCACTCATTTATTTTCCAACTACTATATATATAGATATATACGAGTGTGTGCGTGTCAATAGTTCAATAGTCAGTTTCTCTGCACGAAATCAGCTGTCAACTATGCAACACATGGCTCTGATTCTCGTGTATATGTAATGGACCATCAATCACCTCAAAATTCTATTCATACAGAAAAATATCAGTAAAGATGCAATAATTTAATATCATATTGAAATTCTCTTGAGATTATATAGAATATTTCATGTGATTAGATTTTATCGCATGAAACAAATAAAAATAAACAGTGTGTATAACTAGAGAGAGGGGGTGAGAGAGAGAGAGAGAGAGAGAGAGAGAATACAATCAAAATCGAACTGAATGTGTGAATATAAGTGTACGCAAAAAGAATTAATTCACATTTGCATTTTTGACACCATCATCCAATACATGTACACATTGGCACTCAAGAGAAAAAAGACGAAGGAGGAGGGAGCGATGAGTGGCTCTTTGTCGCCATCATAATGGTGCCGATATACATATTTTTTGTCGGTCGCAACACGATATATTCAGTTGACAGAACTTCAAAAATACCTATCGAACGAATCAAGAGAGAAATAACTGGAATGTGTGATATCTATTCAATATAGAAAATAATAAAACAGGCACAACACATGATGAGATCATATTTTATTGAGCTGTCAACATAAAAAGAGCTCCGAAAAGAAATAAAAGGAAATTTCATATGTTAATATAATTGTCAAAATAAAACAAAAGGAGTTTATTTGAAAAAAAGATAAACCTTAATTTAAGCCAGTTTTGTCTTCCTACTTTATCTCTATATTTTGTTTACATATGTAATGAAAGGCGAAGACAAAAAAATACTCAATTATCATAAGAAGCTTTGATGATAATCCAAAATGATGCAAAGCCTTCTTTTTTTTATTTCTTCGTTTTTGTCTATAGTTCAATGTGGAAATGAGAAAAAGACAAATTATGAATGCATGATAACATCTCCGGAAGGAACTAGACACGAAATATGCGGGAGAGCATAAAGCTTTTTTTAAGTCTTAATTTATTGCTTCTTTTTTAATTTCTACAAAGAAAAAAGTATATTAATTTGACTCGAATAAACATGACATTTGACACTTTCCGGATATACACTTCCATATACATATATTATAAGGTTTTCGTCGTAATTATACATCGTTAAAAATGTCAGATGGAATATGTCAAATACATCCGATCTTCGTTTTTAATATATCATCGATTACTACATCTATTTAATGTGTATGTTCACTTTTTTGATTTCGATCAATTGATCATGGATTGACATGATTGTTTGTAGTTGCGGAATGATCTATCAATAAAATGAGTAGCACGCAACATACTCTTTTTAAATAGATCTATAAACATATGGCGGAAGTAGAAATGTGTATTGTTCGTCATTCATTTTTGATCTTGAGTCGGTCAATGCTTCGAACACTTCAAAGCGCACACGTACATGACACTGTTTATAATGTAGAGGCCATACTAGCTTATATAAAGCGAGAAAGAGAGTAGACTACTGAAGCACTACTGATACCATATGGTTAACGAAT